TCTACTACTAAACTTCCCAGAACAGTATACTTGACGTAAAATTTCCAGGTGCTGCAGGTTTGATTCAAACTTCCAGGATTGTTTGTTTGTCTGTAGTTAAGCACAAAGCTACACAATGGGCTGTCTGGGCTCTGCCCACCACGGGTATCGAAACCCGATTTCTATCGGTACATGTCGACAGACATACTGCTGTGCCACTGGGGCACTACTGCACGTTTGATTTAATCTTTTTTGGAACTGTATTGTTTGATTTAAGCTCCATAGAATTGCGTACTCGACATAGAATTTCCAGGAACTGTATGTTTTATGTTAAACCTTTAGGAAATGTATTGTTTAATGTGAACTTTCTATGGTATTTGTAGCTTTCCAAACTGTACTGTTGACATGAAACTTTCAGGAACTATATGTTTTACATTAAACACAAAAAAACTACAGGATTAACCCTAACTTTCTGAGAGCTTTGTGCCACGTGTGGTAAAAACAACATATAAAAATTTCATGACCTGTTATCGGAGAAATTGTCGTGTTAACTGTATCACTATATATGCCATTAATAAAGGTTCAAGATTTTGTATAAAAGTCTATGTTATCAACTTAAAGTTTCTATACCAGGATATTAACGTATATAACCATTCTTACTCAGTGGTGTTTGTAAATTAAATCGCTGATTTTATAGTTATAATTTTTACACAGCCTTAGGCTTTGTGTCATTATATAAGTACTTGTATTTAGCATATTTTAACAACCTTTTAGATAATGTTTTTTTCAAACCCAAGAACGTTGCTTTTATCTACTTCTCAACAATTTATGGAATACGGGTTTTACTCACCACTCCGTTTATATCTCCTTCCTCTTCAAATTTTCTTAGAAACTTAGTTAATAGCTGTTTCTCCGTCATTTCTCCGTTCAAGTATGCTGGATGGTTCCTTACATTATACACTCCTTTTAGGTCTTGCACATTTATCATCCCGTCTCCTGTTTTATCTAACTTCGAGAATGCTTTTTCCACAATGTCTATTCGACCTTTTGACATGCTAGGCTGGAAGAAACATAAAATTAACGTTTCGTGCAATTCATAATCCTAATTTCTTTAGCATTAAATCTGCCGATATTTATATGAGAATTAAGATGATACTGAGTAAGTGTCTAAAATGGGAGCGGTGGTTCTATTACGAGCAATATATCTTACTTAAATTTAATTCATTGTTTAGAAAATTTGGCACGTTTTAGACAGAATTATTTTGTGTATAAAGCTAAACCGTCTCTACGAAATAAAATAAGATGTTGACAATGTTTTCAGAACAAATAAAACCCATCCAAGTGAATTTGACAAATACATTGTTAAAATCGAGATTATATTTATATCGATTACTAGCCTGCAGCGGGAACTACGCAACGGAAACCCCCGAAGAGTCTTTCATTTGTTTTAGCATCTGACTAATACAATTGTTCAAACTTTTTCTGGGAATAGTAACTCTTTTCTCTACAGTAAAATATGTAAAGAATTAGGTTAATCTAGTTTAGGTTCTAATTTGTTAGCCTATACTAACAAACGTAAACAAAAAAATAATCACAATGTAGATATTTTTAGGTTTTTAGCGCGAGTTTTCGTAATGAATTCTGAAAAGTCATGTCGTTACTATCGTTTAGAAACAGTTTCTTATAAACGACCAAATAACGTACCCTAATAGCCCGCAGAAATTCATTGAAAACGATTTTACCGGAACTATCCGCATCAAACCTGCTGAACAATTCCTCTATTTCTTCTGGTGGAAATGATTCTCCGAGACCAGTGTCATTAAGTCCCTTGATAAACTCGTCTTTGGAAAGATCACCATTTCCATTGTCATCCATCCGCCGGAAAACTCTGTTAAACAGAATGTAACTGTAACCACTTTTTATTAACTCAAACTTGTTATGTTTCACCCCTGTGTGTGTGTGTGTGTTTGTCAGCAAAATTTGTCAAAAACGGCTGAATGGACTTGGAAAAAGTTGGTACACATTTGGATTATGACCCAATGTAGAAGTGATTAGTTTTTTGGAGGGTCAAGGTCACAATAAGGTCACGAATATAAAAAATCCCTATCTGTTAACCGGTTTTTCACACTATTTTTGCTCTATAACTAAGTCAAAAATGATCGGATTTTGTTGAAACGTGGTGGACATATGTAGAAAATTATTTCTCATTGTTCTGCTAAAAATGGTCTATTTCTGTCGATAACGACGGACATACGAGCACATTTTCGCATTTTTTGAGAGCCGAGTATGATCACCGTTATGTGCCGGAGGTAGGCGCTCTACTGAGTGCCCCTTTAGTTATATCCATTTTCGTCTTGTTTAGACATGTTTCCACCCTCAGTTTGAATACAAACAATTGAAAAGCCATTCAGTTTGATAAATACGCCACACGTCATTGTGAATAAGTGGTTTGCTTTGAATTTCGCACAAAGCTACACGAGGGCTCTCTGCGCAAGCCGTCCCTAATTTAGCAGTGAAAGACTAGAGGGAAGGTAGCTAGTCATCACTACCCACCGCAAACACTTGGGCTACTCTTTTAACAACGAATAGTGTGGTTGACATTAACGGTATAAGGCCCCCACGGATGAAAGGGCAAGCATGTTTGGTTGGACGGGGATTCGAGCCCCGTGACCCACAGATTGCGAGTCAGGCGCCCTAACCACCTGGCCATGATTGTTTATTCATTCAGTTGTGTTTGTGTCCTGTGTCCATGTTTGAAACTAAACTCTCCGATACATTTCAAAAAAATATGCACTCTTACGAATACTTTTAACTACCTAGAGGATATCAATATACGTAATTACCACATTTGCTAATTGACTAATCTTTCATAAAAGTTAGAAAAGGACAAGGCGATTTAACAGACCAAAACTGGCCCGTCATAACGTTTTTGGAAATAGTATCGGAAAATAAACCTTGTGCCATAAGACATTCTTCCTAATAGTTTTATTTTCCAAATGTCGGACATTTTAGTTTTATGACGTCATAAATATGGTAGTATCCTTTCTCAAATAAAAAACCCAAAGATTGATACTTGATAATTTAAGTTACAATTTCTACTAAGTTAGAAAGAAAATTTAAAGACTTGTTAAATGTTTAGGATGTGTGGTAAACGATGAGATATAGAACATGATGGTCAACCACTGGGGCCGCTACTGCTGAAAGTGACGTTTATCGTTTTACCACTAATCTGATTTTTGAACTGATTTGATTTGTTAGTTTAGAGAAGAGCCACATTGGGCCATCTGTTGTGTCCACCAAGGGGAATCACCACTACAGATACTTCAGTTTTCTTATATAACATGTCTATTTCCACATTAGAAAACCTGATAAATCCCCTCATTATTGTAATCAAACTGAGAAATGATAAATTCATAAAAAAAACGCTAGAATCCGGGTTTCGATACCCGTGGTGAGAAGAGCACAAATAGCCCATTGTGTAGCTTTGTGCTTAACTACAAACAAACAAACAAAAACTAGGAGCTAGCGAGACATAAATTGACCCTCACCCTCCCCCACTCATGCATCAAAATGGTCGACAATTGGAAAATAAAGCTCAAGTGAAGCATGTTTTTTGACACAAGGTTTATTTTGGCACTATTTTCAAAATATATCATGATAGGACCATTTCATGTCCTCAGGACACAAGACCTGTCTTTAATATTTAAAGGAATTATCAGGTTGGTTTCTTGGTTCAACAAGACATTCATGTATCTTTAAATACTTTATGTAACTGAATCTGTTTATATTTTTTAATGGTTTTACTTAGACGTGCCACGTAGATTCGATAAAATAAACGAGAAAAAATAATGAATGAACACTTGGCTTAAAAACAATTACTTTATATCTGCAAAATTACTTGGAAAAGGGGTTCTCTGACAATTAACTCATTTCTTGCCAGATGACTGAAACATTCGGAAGTTGTTTTGTTGTTCATTCTCCCTTATTCAGTCACATTTCATAGTTGTTTGCATACTTAAATCTTTATAGTTAGTTTAATGCTTATCAAAATTAAAATTAATATACTCTAAAATTAAAATATAATTTCAAACTAGCGAGGGCAGAGCTCCTCGTGGCAAATGAAGTTAACTTCTCGACACAAAATGTGATTACCTGCCAAGTCCAAGAATCCCACTCGAACCACGCTGAAGACACAAGAGCTTTAGTTTTTCCACAGGATCGGTAGCAAACGCAAACTGTTTTTTAGCGCTCTCTATCATCTCTTTCTCATTCCGAGTTTCTGCTGTCACCGGTCGAGGCATTTCTATACTAACAGCAAAAGGCCGAAAAATATCTAGAGAAAATTAAGGTTTTCAAATTGTGTTATAATCATGTATCTGGGTTACGCTAAGACAAATCCGAAAAAAAGGAAAAACCAGAAAAAGTAATTATTCTATGAAATTAGCAAGTATTTTTCTATTGTAGTAATAAACACACAATGTATCATTAGGAGGTATTTTGATTGGTTTGTCTTGGAACTTCCGCACAAAGGACTATCCTCACACAACAATCCCTAATTTTGAACTGATAGCTTAGAGGGAAAAGAACTAATCACCAGTAGCGACCGTTAACTACTGGACTACTCTTGTCTCACCGAAAAGTGGGATTTGACTATCACTCTCATAGCAAAACCATGGCTTCAGAATGCAGAGCGTGGTTCTGCGGCAACAGGACGCGAACCATGAACCTCGGCTTCAAAGTCCAGGCACGCTAACAACTAGGACACGCCCGGCAAATGTATCTTTGTATTTGCTTGAAAATAAAAATAAAAAAAACCATTATAGCATTGTCATCTATTTTTTCACCATCACGAGAAGACGAGAGCAAAGTCAAAAGATGTTTTTGCTTTGTTTAGCACAAAATTACGCAATGGGTTATCTGCACCATGTCCGCCGCGGGGATTGAACCTCAGAGTTTAGCGTTTTAAGTGAAGAGATAATATAATATTATAAAATTATTTTTTTGTAATTCACATTAATATCAAAATAAATTAATGTTTCTTATACAAACTTTTCAAAAATATTTTTATTTCTACTTAGTCAAGTTGCTTCTATTTGTTTATGCAGGATTATTATCTTCGAAAGCATATAAAAAAAGACGTTACATGTTATTGCAACCAACGCTGTCATGATGGATAAAATACCGAAACGAAACATCCACGAAAACCCCAACACTAAGCACTGAACACTAATATAAATTGAAACCCATAAATAACAACAGTAAAAGATAAGATAAAACAAGTTGTTCAACCTGGTGTATGGGGGTTAAAGGTCACAAACAATACTTCATACTTAGCTATTATTCCTCGTTCAAGAAATGAGTTGCCATAGAAAAGCAAATCAATATAATGTAACGTTTAATATCTCATTAAATCTTCCAGAAACTAATCACAGAGTTTGGAGTTTCATTAGTTCTACACTACATCTAACTAGGTAGTTATTTTCAAATGAAGTTCTTACTTTCTTGATAATAACATGATCAATAAATTGTCTTAAGAAAGAAAAACAATAGATACGATGGTAATAAACCTAGGAAAACTTTAATTCGACACAACGTTTCGGGCCTAATCCATTCTTCAGGTGATGTATGTTTAAAAACAGGGTTTAAGCCCGAAAAGTTGTGTCAAATGAAGGTTTTCCTAGATTTTATTACCATCGTATCTAGTGTTTTATTCTTCTTAAACTTTGTCCTAGATCTTCTGTGCGGTTTATATATACGTTTGTGTACAATAGGTTGTCTTGACGACTGATCAAACACCCTAATGGATACTTCTGATTAAAGACTCTATATAAACTTCGAAGCTTGTATTCTGTTTTAAATAAAAATCTCTAATTTTCTTGAACAATGTTCTTAATTTTTTCATTGTAGAAGTTTTGTTCATGTGATGATGTAAAGTATGTAATCAATAGATACAGCTACAGTAACTTTACCATGGAATCCCAAATCCAAAGAGTTTAACGGATCTGACGAACAGAAATAATATATGTAAACGTATTTTTACCATATTTTTGATGTTGTGATTCACTGTACTTTTCCATAGATTGTTTTTCTGTTAATATTCCATGACAAAATCATTCTGTTGTACATACATGTTTCTTATGTTTCTGGAAATCCCCAAAGCATTCAACATTGTATTAGGTTTTATGGACATCTATTAGCCCCCTTAAAGTTATTTTAATGGCAACAACTTTCTAATGATACATATCTTATTTTGATATCTAATTATTCTTATGATAACCGGCATATCTTAGGTTTATCACATGTGTCGTATGCATATTTTTATACCACTGAAACCGTCCCACATGTATAAGTGTGTAATGTGGATACATTTTACAAGTAATTGTTTTCCTCTGGGACGAACATTCAAATTTTTTTCTTGTTCAGCGCGTCCAGTCCTACTTTTCATCAATGATTTGAAAATTACTCTGTGTAAGTAAATTCAAGATTATCTGGAGGCACTTACTTCTTTTTATCAGTATGACGAATGAGCTAAATAACATGACCCAAAAGTGACCTTTGTTTATGGATAGAGGCGAATGTTAGCGGTATTGAGGAGGGTGATGCGTGCCTTATTCTGCTTTCTAATCTCATTAGTGCTTAGTAAAATCTCAGTAAGTTTATATAATAATCTGTCAAAATTACAACAAGCTGTAATAGTTTATAAACATTTTAACATTGTACATAGTAAAGTAAAAGAAACATTTTATGTACAATATGCACATAATAAAAACATTCAATAAATAAATGAATTAATTCAGTACAATACAATAAATATATGTACAATGTAAACACACATGTATTCTTAGTTGATTATAAGATGGTACAACTATAATAATACTTAATAAAACGTCACCAAGAATTAAAAAAAAAATAAAAGGCTAAACTAAATATATATATTCAGAAACCATCAAAAGCATATTTCCGTAACTGGCTTTCAGTATGTGTGGCATACATCTGAACATCAAATGGTTGAATTACTTTTATTAAAATTCAGAAAAAAACAAAAACAACCTGAGAAATAAAATTATAGAATGAGGGAAAACGAGGAAGAGCAACATGTGCAACACCAAGTGATTTAAACCACAACGTCTTGGTATAATTTTTACATCACCGAGTGATTTAAACCACAGCGTCTTGGTATAACTTCTTCAACATCGAGTGATTTAAACCACAGCGTCTTGGTATAACTTCTACAACACCAATTGATTTAAACCACAACGTCTTGGTATAACTTCTATTCACATTTTGCAACAGGCTGTGGAAAAGCAGTTGCTACACGTGAAAGGGAAGTCAGGAAGTAGACCAAACCTCAAAGGAGAAATTTTATGCCTGAAAAACAAAAGAATAAAGCCTAACATAAACAATAGAAAGCAAGACAAAAAGGGTCAGACGAAATAAGCATCAGAGAAAAAAAAAAGGTGGAAGCAATAATACAAAGGAGAGGAGGAAAACAGAAAGGGGAAATATGGGCGAAGAGCAAGGAGAAGAGAACAAAAGAGAAAAGCTAAGGGTGAAGATAGAAAATAAGAAAGACAAGAGAAGAACAGGGCCAGAGAAAAATAAAAATAAGAGTATTTTTGTGTCTAACTACAGGAATTCAAATGAAGAAGTCCTTTCTTCAAGTGACAGACCAATTGATGCCATTTTTGTCGACTGTTTCCACTGGTATTTTCAGGGAATTTCAGCAATGTCTTAATTGTTAGTTAGTGGGTTATGAACTTTTGATTGCTTTGAGTGTTGGATTCTTCAGGCATTTTAAAGGGGTCAGAAGATTTGTTATATAAGTTTGGTGAAACTGAATAGATGTGGCCGAAATGAAGTTACTATTTTATATTTCCTTCTCTCACTTCAGAATTATTAGGTGAATTGATGTTTCTCTGATCTCTTTTCTGAGCTTATTATTTTACTACGGGTAAGCAGCATGAAACAGTCTGTTGTCATGACAACTGTTTTTGCTCTTATATAATGAAGGGATTATTTCAAACAAAATTGTTATAATTTGAAATATATTTATTTTGAGAGGGCCTTTTATACTTGCATCTAACGATATTCGACATATACAGACTGTCATTAAGTACAACAATAAGGATTTAATCCAGACATCAAATAGAATAAGATTACTTTCATTATTTCGAAACACAATTTGATTGTTTTATTGATTTTCTGAGTTCAATATTTAAAAAAGTTTTTAGTTTCTTTCTATCACCCTTCCTTCTCTGATTTTTAAACTAGACTACATTAATTATAGTTTTGGCATCAAAAATCAAGATTCCAATCTTTCTCTCTGTGTTTTCAAACACGAGACATCCAGAATAGCTTAAAAAACCCGCGTCTTCCTGGAGCTTGAGTTGTTCATCTTGTGAGACTGGTGCCAAAATAAATTACAATATTCATTGAAAGAGTTTTAAGTTTAACACAAGTATACTGTACGTTCGGTAATCAGAAAAGAATAAAAAAAAAAGAGTTGAAATTCAACACAAGCATATCGTATGTTCAGTTGGAATAAGCAAAGAAAGAGTTGAAATTTTAACACAAGCTTAATGTATATCCAGTAATAAAGATCAAAGAAAGAGTTGAGATTCAACTCAAGCATGTTATATGTTCGATAATAAGTAAAGAAGAAACGAAAGAGTTGAAATTTTAACAAAAGCTTAATATATGTTCAGTAATAAGAAAAGATCAAAGAAAGAGTTGAGATTCAACATAAGCATGTTGTATGTTCGATAATAAGTAAAGAAGAAACGAAAGAGTTGACATTTTAACAAAAGCTTAATATATGTTCAGTAATAAGAAAAGATCAAAGAAAGAGTTGAGATTCAACATAAGCATGTTGTATGTTCGGCAATAAGTAAAGAAGAAACGAAAGAGTTGACATTTTAACAAAAGCTTAATGTATGCTCAGTAATAAGAAAAGATCAAAGAAAGAGTTGAGATTCAACATAAGCATGTTGTATGTTCGGCAATAAGTAAAGAAGAAACGAAAGAGTTGACATTTTAACAAACGCTTAATGTATGTTCAGTAATAAGAAAAGATCAAAGAAAGAGTTGAGATTCAACATAAGCATGTTGTATGTTCGATAATAAGTAAAGAAGAAACGAAAGAGTTGAAATTTTAACAAAAGCTTAATGTATGTTCTGTGATAAGAAAAGAACAAAAATGAGGGAATAAGCGTGTTCGAACAAAACTTCTACAAAACTACTCAACCATACTTTTATCAGTAATACAGATGAATTCTAACCTACAGATTAAATGTAACAAAAATTATTTCACTGTGTTAGCAATGCACCTTGCAATGTTCAACCAGGAACAACGATAAGTGAGTTGTAACACATCAGTTATTTGTACATAGGTGAAAAACACTTTAAAGATGTTTGTTTGTTTGTTTAAAGTTGAGCACAAAACTACACAATGGGCTATCCGTGCTCTGCCCACCACGGGTATCGAAACCAGGTTTCTAGAGTTGTAACTCCGCAGACTTACTGCTGTGCCACTGGGGAGCCAGTATATATATTTTTTATTCTTGTAAATACGCTGGATATAACATTAGATTAGTGTTATTGTTAGTTACAGTATGTATATGTATCATTTATGAATATATGAAAACTCCAAAACGAAATATAAAGTACAAAAAAATACAAGTGGTAAATATTTGAAGTTACACGTTTTTTTAATTACTATAATCAAAAATCATTTTATTGAGCATTTTATGCCAGCTGGGTTAAAGGAATGGGTTTGATGCAATATGTAACAAAGCCTGTTATAATAGTTCACATTTCGACGGTATATAACGTTTTTCTAAGGGGTGGGGGTGTATACAGATAGTATAAATATGGTTTCCATACGTGAGATTTTACATTAAAATGTTTCTTGTGACAAACCCTACCTTCAAGGTATGAGAGTTTAATGGTAAGGATTTTTCATTACGTAGTGAAATAGATATAATGTATTGAAAATATGTTTAAATAATACGATAATATGATTCATGGCAAGTATGATTCTCACGGTCTCCAGTTTAGGCCTGGCCGAGTTACCTTACACGCAGATTAGTTATATTTGTATTTTTTTAAGAACCATAAAAATTTAAGCTGGTTAAATACAATTGGCGTTAAACAGAGCAGTATTTTTACCATCTGTCCAATTCTGATGAAAAATTAGAATATGTATAAGCTATAATATTTTGCTTATTTACATTTATGTTACATAATTTATGTTCCAACACCTAGACGTGGAATTGAAACTAACTTTGTAACTATTAGGGTTTCTGTTTCATTTCTTTATGTATTTTATTATCAATTTTAAAACTTAACGCTGAAAGTTAGCTTTGATTTATTTAACACCAGCCCGACATGGCCAGGTGGTTAGGGCGCTCGACTCGCAATCTGAAGGTCGCGCAAAGCATGCTCCCCCTTTCAGCCGTGGGGACGTTTTAAGGTGACGGTCAGTCCCATTATTCGTTGGCAAAAAAAAAAAAAGTACCCCAAGAGTTGATGGTTGATGGCGATGACTAGCCGCCTTCCCTCTAGTCTATATCACCGCTAAATTAGGGACAGCTAGCGCAAGTAGCCCTCGTGTAGTTTTGCGCAAAATTCAAAACAAACAAACAATTATTTAACACCAAACATTGCAGAGTTGTATTTTTCTCAAAACTAGTAATAACAACTAATACGTTTGTTAATATGATTGTTCAATTTAGTTGTGTTTTTTTTTTTTACAATAGTCACTTTATTATAAAAATGAATCAACATTTTAGAACTAGAAATTATGCTACAAGGTTTAAGTAAATAGGATCTTCAGTTCTCTATAATTATAGGAAGTAAAGACAAAGATAAAGTGATCCACAGTCTTATTGAATAGAAGAAGAAAGGACATTTTTATAGTGAACAACGATCTTAGAAGATACTTTGATCTAATAAAACATCAATGATGCAATATCCGTTTTAAATAAGAACAAGCTGTAATTGTTTCTTAGCAGAAGAGCCCGTTTCTCATCAGTTAGTATAAATAAAAAAGTAGTCTCAAAATTTAAGCTTATAATATAATATTCTTTAATTGCTTGTAAATAGATATTCATTTCTTACTTAGATTCAAATTTTCAAAGACGATACCTTATCTATCTTTCAGATGCAAGAAAAAATTAGCAATATTAATTACCAACTCAATGAAATACTTACCAGTCGTTGATCCAACTAAAAACTTTCAGCTTCTCTAAAAGTCGGGAACACGAAATACTGTGGAATGCGGTGGTTGCTTGCTATAAGTTGTCACTGGTTGCTATAGAGTAGTGCTGCCATCTTCTGGTCTCATTTGTAAGTAAGTAACTATTATGTATGAATTGATCCATTGTATTTCGCAAAGTACAAGAAGTAGGGTGCACTTATCGAACAGCTACTAAAAATATAATCTTTATTACCTTACACTATACATGTGCATGCTTCTGTTGTTATGGTAACTACTATAAACAGAATGTATATCATTTTAAACAAAACATATACTACCAGTACGTTAACGTTCGAAAATAGCTTTGAAACACTCCTCCAAAAATCTTCCTGAATTGAAATCTTGGCTTTTACGAATAGGAATATAAAATCTAAGCTGAATTCTGGTGGTTATTTGATAAGCATTTTAACAAATAAATTGACGATTAAGTTTCAATTGTCTAAACATGTCACAGTAACATTCATGGTGGTGAAGAGGTTTCACAGAGTGACGCATGCGTAACCATAATGTAACTTGTCATAGACCGAAACCGGCCTGTTTTTTCCAAGAATATGTCCAATTCGACAAATATCAACAGATGAATACAGAGAATTCATGCAAGTAAGTGTGAATTGAAATAATGAGCTTAAGCTAGAACTTACATATGCATATACTATAATCAAATTAAAGGTGTTCCAGTTAGTGCTATTGATAGTCCAAATAATAACAGATCTATATCTGTCCTTTTAAGAAAACTTCTCAACAAGAAAAAAATTATACAAGTATAAACTACATTATCAAGATTTAAATATCAATTTAGCAAACAACAAATTTGCACGCAACGTCTACAGCAAATGAAATACAAAACAATTATTAATTGGCAATGTTTTAATTACCTTCTTTGAATAAGATAAACAGTGTTTTGTTTCACAAAAAAATATGGTCATAGTTTTACAGACTTGCCACTGTGTATACAGACAACGACCAGCTTCTAAATATTTGAAAATAATTATTGGTAAACTAATAAGAATAAATGGCTATAACAGACAACAACTTGACATTACATTTAATATTTTTCCTGCAAGAAACGAAGATACTTCTTTTACCTGCAGTCTAGGCCATCAGATTAAATAGAATCATTCTCGATTAAATAAATTCATCATGCTGTGAAAGTTACTTGTGGAACTGGTTAGATATAAATGGTTCGAAGTTTCACAATTAAATCATCTTTTTTGCTTTGGAGGTGGTTTCAATGCTACGTTTATTTTAAGCAACCTGCTTATTATTATTGTTGTTTGTTTTAGAGTAAAGCCACATTGGGCTATCTGTTGTACGTGTCCATAAACTTACCGCAGACCCATTAGGGCACACCTGCTTGTTATATATGTTTCAATTATAATTTTTTATTCACTTTATTGGGTCTGAATTGTAGGTCACAGGATATATATATAATTAAATAATTGTTATATATATATATATATATGAATATATGAATATGGCTTTGGTTTGACGTCTCGCGTTGTTTAATATGATAGCATTATTTAACTTTTTTTTTCAGTTACGTCAAAACATAGAATAAAATCTATCTTCATTTGAAATTCTAATTATTCAAACTGTACAGCTCAGTCATATTATGTCAATATTTTGATAGAAATTATATTAAAATATTTAAATGTATCACTCTGTTCGGTCTCGATGCGGAATAAAGTCTTACAGCGCTGTCCTTCATTGATCAATATATCGTATATACATAAAATATGTTTAATATGAATGAAACGAGCCTTACATGGACAAGGTAAGTCTTACATGGATAAGATAGACTTACACGTCTTTGAAGTTAAGCACAAAGCTACATAATGGGCTGTCTGTACTCTGCCCACCATGAGTATCGAAACCCGGTTTCCAGCGTTGTAAGGCCGCAGACATTCCATTGTGCCACTGGGGGAGGGGAGGACGCCTTTGTTCTCATTCAGAGGAGACCAAAAAAGAAAAAAGAAAATGACTCTTCTTTTCTTTTAGATATTCTTTTCTTGTTTGTTAGGGGATATATTATTGTTTCTCAATTACAAAATATACAATTCTATATAATGGTTAGCTTATTATGAATTATTTTTTCAGGATTGAAATTATTAAAATAAAAATCCCTAAGTGATATTTAACCAAAGAAAAGTAACATCGAAAACCTTGACCAAGTACAATTTGTCAAATAGTTAGACGGTTTCTTTGATCGTTATTAAGCACAAAACTCGTCACGGATAACGACACCTGACTTCTAGAGTTATAAGTTAGGTGGGAATCCAAAGATTCTGAAATTCAACCTTAAAATGTGATTAATAAGAATAAGATAGATATTTATTAAATGTTTAAGATATTTTCCATTGGATTTTGTGATTGCTGAATATCAGTTGGATTTTAATCCACAAACTGTATGTGGAGAATAAAGTCCAATGAAGAGATTGAAGGAGAAAGGATTTTCTTTCTTTCAAAAAAAATTTTATGATCATAGTAGTGGTACTAAAGAAAACATAATAGACTGTTGAATAAGTTGGCCGAAACAGAAATACCTTGGTTTTGAATTCTTAACAATATAAACAGTTTTCTTTCAGTTAGCAGACACAAAATAAATGTAGTAGTTCATATACATGCAAATGTACAGTTTCAAGAAAGATTGTTACATTTGAAGTTAATTGTTTGAAGAAAGGTGTTTCTATTTAGTAAGACTATGCACAACTTAAAATACGTTTTTTTTTGTATTTAGTAACGCTATACGTAGTTTACAATATATTGTTTGTATTTAATAAGGTTATGCATAGTTTACAACATGTTTTGGTATTTAGTAAGTCTAGGTACAGTTTATACAACAACTGGTTTATGTTTAGTAAGGCTATTCACGTCTTACAATAATTTGCATTAGACCCCCGATGGGACAGAGGTAAGTTTACAAACTTACAACTCTAAAATCCAGGGTTCTATTCCCCGCGTTGGACATAGCAGATAGGCCAACGTGGTTTTGCTCTAAAAGAACAAACTTTAAGCTTTGTATTAATAAGGTTAAGCATAGTTTAATCTATTTTGTTTGTATTTGATAAGGTTATTCACAGTAACAATATGTGATTTCTTTTTAGTTAGGCTATGCTCGATTTACAAGTTGTTTATATTTAATAAGGCTATTCACAGTTAATAAAATATGTTGTTTGTTTTTAGTAAGGCTATTCACAATTTATAAATATATTGTTTGTTTTTATAAGGCTATTCACAATTTATAAAATATGTTGTTTGTTTTTAGTAAGGCTATTCACAGTTTATACGCTATATTGTTCGTATTTAGTAAGGCTATGTACAGTTTATACAACATATTTTTATATTTAATAAATCTATGCACAGTTTACAATATGTTGTTTGTATTTAGTAAGGCTATTCACAGTTTATACGCTATATTGTTCGTATTTAGTAAGGCTATGTACAGTTTATACAATATATTTTTATATTTAATAAATCTATGCACAGTTTACAATATGTTGTTTGTATTTAGTAAGGCTATTGGTAATTTTAACACAATGTTTGTATTTGTGTTTCGTAAGGAAACGTCAGAAATTTGATTATTTGTTGAATGATAAAGCTACATAAAAAACAACAACAAAAAACAATGGCTGTTATAAGTTTTTATGTGATACTGATATATGTATTGTTGATATATTCAAAATATCGGAGTATTGATGGAAGTTTCTTCATCTGGAGGTTTCAACACGTTATAGATTTTTTCTGACGAATTAATATACGTATGAACCGAAATTTCCTGCGTAATCTTTATGAACATTTATTTAATCACATTTCCTCTAATAATAACATGTGTTATATGAAATGACATTTCCGGAGGTATTGAACTGTGTTTATGCGAGCTAGTGTTTTCTGTGTTGTTGTCGTTTTGTTTATTATTGTTTTTTTTTAAATGAGCGTGTGTTAATTTCCATTTCTTGTAATACAAAATGTGTCGTATAAAATGGCATTTCATGTTGTTTTGATTGTACTTATTGACTTATTTGCTATCAAAAATACATAACCGCCTTGATGTTATGAAGAGAGGTGATCTTTGCTTATCACTGACCTCACTGCAACTGGACATTCAAAAACTCTCAAGTGTTCATCAAGGCCAAGGATCACACTGAAGAAAATGTCAATGATTAACAGAATATTTTTTACTTGTATAAGTAAACAGTATGTTATAAACAAAATATTTAAAAACAATACAATATTGAAAAATAATGTTATAATATTATAAATATATTATAAATCAACAGTGTGGAAATAAAGTAACTTTTTTCCTAAGTAACAGCGTCTACGAAGGATGGGTTCACTAAGATAAATCAAACTCAAAAGGGAGCCATGAGCATAAAAAGGTTGAGAAACACTGTTCTAACCTACTAACTGTTCATTACTTTTAAGGGTTCATACACAGGTTCTGACATTTTCACGAGCGTAAAAAACGTATGCTTTTTCGTCACACCAACTACCCGCTTCTGAAAAGGTATACATTAAATGGCAAAGTTTTGAAACAGATATTGTTGGACATTAGTTATTATAAACACAGTACTGGGAAACACACACGAGTCCACAAAAGTTGCAGCTGGTCAATATATTTACAGGTTGATTGATAATGATAAGTAACGTCCTCTCCACATTTCTTGAAAACATTATACGAGCTACTCCCTCCCTCCGCTGGAGTATGTATTATACATTCGTGAAAATATCTCCAATTCATATTTATACTACTCTTTTCAAAGCCCATGTAATTTTCCCTTTGAATGTTTTGGGGACCTTGAATATTTTTGACACTGAAAATCTTTTATTGAATATGACTACAATATTACAGCAGTCAAACGGAATTATTTTCTCCAAATAAAAAATCGAAATTACTCCTTTATAGGTGAGTTTTCTTCGGTGTATTTAACTGGTAAAATATCAGTATATACATGGAAAGAAGGGTCCTTCCGACTATAGTAAGCGGCTATAGAGAGAGAATTAGATATGTTTGCGTATTTTATAATAAACCTAAAATCGATAAC